TTATTGTATAAAATCGAATATGGGTTTTTGGTATAAAAAATAATTTTAAGAATAAATTATGTTTTTGGTAAAAAAAATATAATAATATTTGTATTTTGTGACTACTTTATAAGAATGTATAGAAATGGAATTTTCAAAAGATTTTATTTTTGTTAAAGGATTTTCAAAAGTTGGCAGTGAATAGTTGTATTTTCAAAAAGTATCCCATCTTTGTAGTACTTTTAAAAATTCCCCCAATATTAGTCTATTATATTATAGTTTAGTTGTGTTATTGAACATGAGTATATCAAGGTGTTAATACATAATATTTTAAAATTCATTTTGAGTTCTTCAATTCTTGTTTTGAGTGTAAACCATTTGAAGAAGTTTATGTTTTTGCAAGGAGCGAGCGAGAAGTTCAGTGGTTCAAGATATTTACAAGTAAAAAACATTTTTTTAACTCAAAATAGTGTACTTAATCACTAAAGAACACTAGATTTGGTATTTCAAAAAAAATAAAATAATAACAGTAGATTTATTGATTATTTGTAAATTTAATATTAAAGTCATTTGGTGGTTATAGTAAATAATTATTTAGATTCGAAGACTAAATATATGTAACAAATTATTGAAACAATGTTATATGTAAAAATATCGTTCATTAATAAAAATTTGTATATGAATTGACATAAATTATAGATGCATATATTATGTGAGATAATACAAATGCAAAGTAAAGTTAAAAAAAAGGTTTGGTCTTTTTTTCTTGCATCTAACACGTTCGTAAAGAAATTTATTGATCTGCATCATCTCAAAAAAAAAAATAGAATGTGTCTCTATATTTATTTCGTTAGAATTTTGAATCGTAAAAAAGGAATAATTGTTGCTTGATTGTATTCTTGTTTTTTTTTTATTGTTTTGCTGTGATTTTTATCTTTCACATTGATTCATTGGTGAAGTGAATTCTGTTTTTGTCATCATGATTACAGTATGGAAAGAATAATAAAAATAAAAATATTTTTTCTCAATTCACAAAAGATTTAATTGCACTAACTTGTTATTAAGTTTAGAGAAAAAGTTTTAAAATCTTAAATTTTTAATATAGTATATTGTTGATTTCAATAAATAAAATATCTATTTCCAAACCATTAAAATTTTATAATAACACATTTAATTTGGAATCATATTTTTTTGTCAGTATAAAAAAGAAGACAATGTCTAATATATATTATAACTTATTAGAATTAATTAACATTAGAATTATCTATTAAATTGTTGGAATTAATTGTCTAAATTATTAGAAAGAGAAAAAGACTTATAATTTTTATTTTTTCTTGAATAAATAAATTAAAAAGACATATGACAAAAAAATAAGTGACACATGTCAGTCTCTCATAATTTCAACTAAAATTAGATAGATTATAGTACTTTAACAATCTTCATGTAATATAATGATAAATGACTTGAGCGTAAGAAGATATTCGGAAAGCACCATATGAATGTCCTAGACTATCCTGACCCCTGTTTTTTCTAATGGTACATGCCTATTTATTCTCTAGCGGTCGACTTCTAGAAAAAGTCAAAATCTAATGTAGTTTCATGTTTTGATTTGGTTTAGTGGAAGAATGACTTTGTTTCTCAACAGAACTATGTGAGTCCGCATTTCTACGTCAATCTTTCCCGGAATTTAGCTTTGTTTAACAAGAATATGAAAGCGGATCTATTAGCAAAGAATGCGCGAACTAGAAATACGATATTCTCTCATATAAACATTTTTATTTTCTATTGGTTTAGGGATGCAGGAAATGTATACATTTAATCGATACATGGAGTGTGTTTGAGAAAGAAAAAAAATGTATCCGTTACTTTATAGGCCTTTTCAACGAATTGAAAATTATTTCGAATACACTGAAGATACATAAAACCCAAAAGAAAAGAGAACATAACAACCTCACATGATCGGATTACTATGCAGACATAAACCCAAAAGATAAGAGAACATAACAAAGATGAGATCTACTCGAGCCCAAGTCGTTTCTTCCTTAGCTCGGAAATGAACATAGTGACCTTCTCCGATTCAGGCAAGGCTTTAGCTACGCTCTCTCTCTTCGCACATCTTTTAGCCCACTCAATCAGTTTTGGACACTCTGATTCGATACTGACATTCCCAAACTTGTTGTACACTCCAAACCAGCTGTAGAATCCAATGAGAGCTATGTCCACATACCCGAACGTTTCGCCTCCAAAGTAAACCTTGTCTCCAAGCTCGGATTCTAGCGTCTTTAGTATCTCGATTAACTCCTTGGATGCTTCTTGCTCTTCACCTTTCACTGTCCAAATCCTCCTCGCCGTAACATTCACCTGATCCATTTGATTAAAAGTTACAAAACATTCGAGTTATTATATATCATAGAGACTTAACGGAAAAAAATAACCTGACCAAACCAAATCCAAAATGCTTCTTAAACCGAAACCACGCCAAAATTTTGTACAAACCCGAAATTGAAACCAAACGTTAACTCAATTTAGTGTGATCGAATCGAAGTTTTATTTTCAAATAAATAAGAATCATATGAATTCAATTTTTACTTAATTATATATCTAGGTAATTAAAAAGGATTGATCGAAAAGTCCATATTGAATTAACTAAGAACAAATAATTTGATTTAAATTTTCTATAAAACCCAAAATAAACTAACCCGAAAGCAAACCATAAAAAGTTCACACAAGCATGAGATTTTTATTTGATAAAAAAAAAAAACTATATATACCTTTTTATCGATGAAATCGGCCCAGAATTTGGCGTGAGCTCTCTCGTAAGGATCAGAGGGAAGGAGAGAGTTTTTGCCGGGCCAAACCTCGTCGATGTACTCGATCTGGATGAGAGATTCACATACCGGTTTACCATTGTGGATGAGAACCGGGATTTTCTTATGAACCGGGTTCATCTCGAGGAGCAAGGAGCTCTTGTTCGATAGATCTTCTTCTTTGTAATCGTAGTTTACTTTTTTCTCCTCAAGAGCAATCATTGTTCTCATTCCAAACATACTCGGCCAGAAATTAAGAAGAATCACCTCGTCCGCCATCAATGTTGCCATCTTTGATTATATAAGAGATCAGTAAGATCT